GATTTCGACAAGGGGCGATGGCCATATTTAATGTCGGGCCACAGTCGCCACGTCACAACGCTGTCCACAGATATGTGCATTGTTTTGTGAGGAGTACTCTTGCCAGGAGGTGAACCCACCGCATTCTCGAGTGCTGCCGCTGATCGTCCGCGACCGCTTATTTGGAGGGTCGAAGTCCACCTTATTCACGGTTAGCCGTTAGGTGACAGCCGTTCACCTATCCGCAACCTGGAGACGCGCTCGGTAGCATACAGCTCTGTTCTCCCGAGATAGAAAATGGCATACCAGAGTGGGTGCTGTGTGATAGAAGATTGGTGATGGGTGGTACGGTAGAACTGGAAACAATTAGACTGGAAATATCTCACCCTTATGGACGGAATTAAGAACCAAATGACCTGGAAGCCTTCCCAACCGATCGAAAATACATCGAGCAGAACTCATTGGAAACTGCTTTTATGGTGGACCAAACCAAGAGGTTCTCTGAAGGATGGTGAATAATGGGTTTTGTTCTTTCTAGATGATTGCCAGGCCAAAACTTCGGGTTTGAACACACCAGCAGTGAATACACGAATTTGTGAGCTAATGCCAACGTTGGGGAGGCTTTCTTTGCACTGCATTTGTGAGACTTAACATTCTCAAACCAATCAAAATAGTGCTGTTCCACGAGTTTACAGAAGAAAAGCATGTCTTGGAGAATAGTTTTCGCGAAATTCAAGGCTGAATTGATTGCGTTGGTAGAATGTAAAGGCAAATACGTCAGGAATAGGAAGCCAGGGAGTCGCGAAAAGAAACCGACGTCAGTCAGTTGATTTGAATTACCAGGATGTGCGGTGAGAAGGAACTGTTGTGAGTATTGGTGGAGTGCGGAAATTAAGATGATCAAACATTGTTTCCATCAGCCAACAAGAAAAATGGACAAAATTTTGAGAAAACAGAGTGGGGAAATGGAAGTTGTTATGTTTAATCGGTGTGGTTATCGCGGAGTGGGTTAACTGGTTGCTTTTGTGAACACTGAAATCACCTAGAATGGGGATCTGCGCGTTGGATTGAAGAGATCAAATTTACCGCAAAGTGATCCGTTTGGAGAGCGATAAGGAATACAAAGTTAGTATTTGAAAGCAAAATACAAAGCTTCAGTCACAAGAAGTAAAAATCACCACTGGAAACATCAGGATGGGATAGAGGTGTGTTTGAGAAACAAAACCAGCTTTCACTGGAAAGCACAAGTAAATCGCACAGTGAGAGAACAGGAGCTGTAAGAAATCAAAGAAAAAGAATAAAAAGGGGGGGGGGAGAACCTTCATGGTAATGATGCTTAGAATCGATTTTTGGTTTAAGACCACAAATGCCCGGTAGAACAATATGAGGAGGTAAGTGAAAAGGAATCGGTTTATTCCCACTAAATGCACTATCCTCGATCACAGTTCTACCGTCTCTCTCTCGCTCACTCAGCATTTTCATCGATGCCCTATGGGCTTATCCCTAGTCTTTACGAATGCGATCGGGTCTACTCTGATAGTATCAGCGTGAGTGGGAATGATGTGAACTGGAAGGAGGGTCTAGGAAACCCAAACACTGCACACAGTTTTGTTATACAACCCAACTCAGATAACCGTTCACTGGAAGAAAATGCCGGTGATTGAAAAGTATCATATTGGAAATTCGCATGCAACTTTATCGGTGTGTCTATTCAATAGTGTGTCAAGGAAGGAAGACAGTTAATCCCTGAAACTAGAATACACTCAATGGACGCGGAACGATAACCAAATTGTGCATTGAACTAGCTTGTACTTATTGTTTTCCTTCTTTTTGTTACGCTATAAACTGTTAACGTGATCCCATGTTAATAGGTGTATCCGTTTGCGTGATACGGTAACTTCGTACACTAAGCGTGAAAGCATGAAAATGCCACCCCTAATGATACGAGGATAGCTTTGTTTGGGCGTATCACTAGATGTTCTACGCAAGCCGCATTTGGTCATTAAGATTTTGGTTTACCAGATGGTCTAGTTTTTAACCTATAATTTCTTTTACAATACCCATAGGGACGCATTGCTTCCAGTCAAGTCTCTTTGTGCTATTTGTGTTATAACAACTTACTAAACATTCATGCATCCATCCACTTGGATGATGTCCTCAATTATTGATATACATCTCTATTATTCTGTGAACTGTTCACTTTATAAATATAAAAATGCAGATTTTTTCTTTGTGCTCCGGTGTTCGCATGTTTGCCCATGCTAAACGGCACTTGTGCGTGTTGTTTTGGAGTTCGGAATGGTTGAAAGTCTTCATCCAGTCAGACTTTACATAAGTGAAGTGGAGGATTTGATTTGATTATAAAGCGTCGCGTACAAAGCGCATACAGTGTGAACTGAAAACCTAGGACGCATTGGTCAACTGTTTTGATATGGTTAGGCTTCATCAGTAATGCGAATCTGTCGGATCCCCTGAAGATCGAACTGGAAACCTCACAAGTAGAATGAGAAAATACTACTCTTTTGATCACCGGGTCGATGATTAAACCGTTTTGGTTTAACCTCTATCTATCCAGGTTCTGCTAACTAACCTGAGGCCTGCTGTTGATGAGAAGCTCTACAAAATAGCTCTCAAGTATCTCTTGTAGTCTCCCACCCGTCAACCGCAACAGTAGTAGCCAGAATTTAAATGAGAACGCATACTTTCAAATACAAAACAAAATATCTATTCCTGTGTTGTAGTTTTTTGGCGCGGTTGACGTCGCTGTCACTGATTTTGGTTTTAGTTCTAATTCCGAGGACTGAACTTTGCCACTCCTACTCCGATGATAAACATCTAAACTATTCTCCAGTAGGAAACCATCCTTGTTCTGCAGTTCCGTCTCCTGGTTCCTCAGTCCGAGTCTGAGGGTGCAGACCACCGGTTATCGTAAGGGCGTAGCAGGCTTTCGTGCTTACGGATTTTAGAGTTACCATTCTTCTCAAACAACGATGCGTAGAGAAAAACACGTTTCAAAGCAGAAATAAGCTTTACGGGTATTCTATTCCCAAATTTTCAAATGGACCACAAGACGAAATTTCGAGTCTGCAGGATAAATAAATTGGTACAGTCTGTGCACTTAGTGGTAAATTAACAAGCGGTTTATTGCTGGTAATGTCGGCCACTTTCCTGCATGCTCGCAGTTTGTTGCCCCGTTCTTGTCATCGTATTTCATATCTTCCATAGTCAAGTGATTATGGTCATCAATTGAAAGCTTTTGGGGTCAGTTACTCAAATCTCATCATCACCGCTTAAATATGTCCGTTTTCTATCTACGGAAGCCCTTGGACTGACCGCTTCCTCCTTCCCGGAAGTTGTTTGTATCACCATGTATGTTCAATGAAAGCAGAGAAAAAGATCCATGCATTACTCCGTTCCGGAGTGTGGATTTTACAGTTGTTGTTGTCGTACACTAGAATAAATGGAAACAAACAATACCGCTGATTATTGATAACAGTTGTCGCTGTTGTTGGAGCCCTCTAGCTTACTCTAAAAAAGAGACACGGGGTTGCCCAGTTAATTTGGGCGTTCCGAGTTCCATAACTTCATGCAACACATCCCAGTATCGTAATCGAATCTGTTCAACTGTTGACATTTTATTCTTGTTTCTATCTGCCAGTTATGTGTGTGTAACGATCTCCATGGGGTCGCTTTGACCTGGGTGCACCGGTTCTTAAAAAATAGTGATGACCACTGCTGACATTATTCAGGTTCGTGTGCAGTCACCTAAACGTATCGCATCCAGCAGATTCACTGATAGACAAGATGATGATGGATAGATATGTGGATAGCGAATCGACTCACCAAACCTCTTCAGACTGACTCGTCTTCTCCTTTGTACGCGTCTCCAATAACGAATGGAAACAGTTATCACATGATGCACCAAATGTCAATTATGTGATTTCATGGTTAATTTGAAATTGGAAACTGGTGCATCACCGTCACTTTGAGGATTACAATATCTTATATTTGGTACAAATTGACTGAAATTGTGTTAATGTCCTGTACATCTGCTTAGGCATAATTTAAGTCACATGAGAGTGACTTTTACTGGTATAGTCCTATCGTGCTGGTCATTGTTGTTCTTGTTGTGGTAATATGTTTGCCCAAAATGAAAGATTTATATATTAGGGTACAGTAAACATGGTATTATATCGGATTTGTTGTCATTTTGCTGACGAAAGTCCACGAAAGTTTACAACAGTACAAACCCGATTACCGCCATTAGCTTAACAGTCACCTGCAAACAAAATTGCAGGCAACACAATTGTGTACCTGTGTTGCTGAATCGGTTCCCCAGATCGATATCCTAATGAGAAATCGATACGGAATTCTCCAAGTGCTCCACCGATCTAACATGAGTTGAGTGATTCAAAGACGGTCTGGTGCATGCGCTTTTCAGTTAGATTAGCCGATGCAACATATGTAGAACGGGGAGGGGTAGGTGGCGGCGAATGAGGAAAAGAGAACAGTGAGTTACTGTTGGGGGGGGCAGGCCAAAAGTGGACGAATCGCATTTTTTCTGTTATTACCAATATGATATTTTCTACCTGGCCCCTTGAATCAACTGGGTCACACCTATAAGCCAGAGTAATCCGGATTAGTAAAATTTCGATAATCTTCCACTGTTTTTTTATTTTTTTTATTTGACTGAACAGAATGTGAACAAAAATGTGTTTCGACAACCTTACTCTCTCCTCCGGGTTCCGTGATCATTGTACACTTTTCCTTAATGTTTGTTTCTCCAAACGTTCGCTATCCAGCGATTGATCTGTAAAAACCACTTCACAGGTCCCGCTTCAGAATAGATCGTGACTATGTATTTTAAATGATGTGTTGATATCAATTTCTCTCACATCACAAACTTATCATTTTTACTTAATCGCCCACGATATTATGATAAATAACTTCTTACTTGCGACCATTACTTATTTCCAGTTTTGAAATAATTTGTTGCTCGGTTCAAAATTGCACGATTCTTTATGAAACGCTATTCCGTAGCCATCATATTCTACGAGTGCACAATGTATCTAGTAGGTTAGTTTAACTGTACTTGTGGTCTGCTCATTGAAACGGAATGGTAAATATATGGGAGTGAGATTGATTACTCAATAATGGGCGTTTTAGTCGCACAACACTTGAAAGTCAATCGTCGGTGGTGAAGCACTCAAACCCTTTTCACACGGAGCGGAACAGAGTGGCAAGTATGGTATAGAACGTGTTTGTGCAGTAATAATGGCCAATACAAATCAAGCGGAACGATGAACTGACAATGAAGTGGAAATATCAACTAACCGATTGGTTGTAAGCTTTTGAGGGTGTGGCAAATTGTTTTCTGATTGCGAAAAAAGATAGTTTGACCAAAAATGTCTCAAGCCATGTGGGAATCAGTTCTTCCCCGAAAAAATTTATTCCAATATGTGTCCAAGGCATGACCTGTTAAAAAACAAGGTTACAATCTTGTTATCATAACCTTAATATTAACAATTATTTTAATAACACCCCTACTTCCGTTCATTGCACACTCGATCGGTCAATCAAGAAGCAGAAATGAACTACCACCCGAAATCTGAATACAAGAATGGCAATAGAAAAATGTACATTTGCACTTGTTACGTGACAAGGTTCAAATTATCTACGTTCGGAAATCTTTTCTACATGTATATTTGGGATAATAATCGTGACAGGTAGAAGGTCATTTATCCTGAGGTATGAACATTTCACATGTGAAATTGAATATCCTTCGGATATGTCTAACGTGGCTGGGAATGGTCAAATGCGTAGATCCACTGTGAGCTTTTTGACTACTCGAACCTGTACCGGAACCTTCAGGATCCGCATCTATTACCATCAGATCATTCCGATAGTTGCTTTTTATCGAGTGCTTGATGTATAGCGCCCAGCAGTCACTGTTGTTTAATGCTTAGAAGACCTTGCAGCGAGTGTTCAATAAACCGACTATCTTTAAAAAGTTTTCCCCGGTATAAGCTCCAAACACTGCTTATTTCATCCCTGTCCCGAATTAAAATATGCAAGGTTGCGTAGAGAGAATTAATTTGAAAGGAACCCCCAGGGGGCCACACTAAGCCTCCATGCGACAGAAGAGGGCTGCTCCAGATCATAATCACAAAAATGATTAATTGGTACCACACACTACACCTTTACGCTTCATTCGTTCAAAAAGAATTAAAATTGTTGGTCCCATCCTTGAATGTGCCTGGATTGTGCTGCATCGGATGTTGACTGGCTTCATATTTAGCTTACGACATGTAAAAACACAATATCCGCGAACATCCCAGGGTCTGGACCGATCCGTGATATACGATAGGATGTTCAACGCAAATTATTGCAACACAAAACTACACGTTTGATCAGAACTATGAGAGCTCCACCCCATAGGAACAAATCACTCACATACGTGTCCGATTGCCCGATATCGTACTCACTTTTAAAAAAGCCAAACCAACTGTTTATAGATGCCCCATTAACACCAAGAAAAGCTTCGTGAAAGGAAATTCCTTTGTTAACAGTGATTGCATCCAATATACGTATATACGCTTTCGGTAGAACTTCACACGTTATCTCAAAAATGTGTTTCTCAGTTTCACCAAGCTTTCGGTCTGAAAAATTTTCATATTTTTCTTGGAAATGATCCCAGTTATGTTCCATTTGATTAAGATCGGGTAATTCGACATGGCACTATACACAACTAATGCCATGATACCGTTCAACTGGATATCCGTGTGCTGGGCCATTGTTATCCCGAAGGATGAAGGCGAATCTCGATTCTGGTGACGGCCTTGGTTGTTCATTTAGCATTCTCAGTTTGTTCAAATCGGTCATTGTTGAGTAGATCACACTTACTACCTTGTTCCATCCGACCAAAAAGGCTTCCCACACCGCCTCGAAGAACCTGCTTATTATCTTACCATGTCGATTCCCTCTTCTGTTTTTGCTTCTCTGTTTTTTTTCGATTGTCAAACTCACGTGATTCCATCTGTCATATACAACTGAAAACTTGTCACATTGTCGTGTACAATATTATCCATTCTACCGACACATATGCATCGCTCACTGGAGCAGTTCCTTTCGACGGCACTCGGTCATCCAAGAAATCTTTGCTAGCCATCGTTCAATTACAGTAAAAGTTGTTCAATTCTCGTATTGTTGTATGCAACGAACTGAATAAAATACAGCGTCCTGCTCAGCGGTGATGAGGTTTTTAAACAGTTTTGTCGACAGATACTGGAATATCACTCGGTGCCTCCTTCGGTTTTTTTTACAGAAGAGAGTAGAACCACAGTGTTCGTTACAATGGTAATCTCCTGTTATGGTCGAGGTGGATTGCATTCACAGAATTCATGATCTTTGTAGAGTCCATAAGAAACGTTTTTCTTTATCCGGTTGATGTGACTTTTGATCAAGAAATCGATCTCCGATATGACGATCCTTTATCCATGCTACTGAGTCCATCTTTCTGAATTCTACGTTTGGTGCTTTTTCTAACAGTTGTTGCACACTTAAACCCAAGTGTACCGCTTGTGGTAACCTCAACGCAATCGTAACCTGATTTGAAGCAGCACTTAAATGCTGTTCCATGACTTGATCACGAACTTGTCGTTGAATTCCGTGTGTACTCTCAGAGTGATATTGTTGGAGGTTTGCTGAAAGGTTCTAAAGCACCTGTGGTTATTGATAACTTTTTTATCAGTTACCTTGAAAAGACTGGTTTTCAGGTTTATATGGGTGAGTATTTCTCCTTGTTCCTGCATCTGGAGGTTTGAATTCCATGACATTTATCTGTTTCGACAAATGAGGAGTCCCCGAAATCAGCCACAGTACCAGATTTTGATAATTGTCGTTTACCTGCTTTATACATCGTAAATATTATTCAATATTGTGTAACTGGACATCACCCAACACATCCGAGACGCGATTGAATTACTTGGCGAGTTACGAAGTGCACTCTAAGAACAGCAATATGAAGTGGTGTTTCGTGTTTTGCACCCATAGGAGACATGTTCTTTGATAAATCAGTTTCGTCATACAGTAATTAGTTGTATCATCATCATCATCATCATGCCAAAATTGATTAATCCGGATGGTTTAGCTATCGAAAAATTGAGGAAGGAGACAATGGGAGCAGCATCACTCCGTGCACTATAATTCATTCTAGTAAGGCTGCCAGAGTGGTAAATAAATGGAACTCCTCTTTTGATATGGTGGTTTTAGATACACATTATGGTGTGTAAAATGGCTTGAGAACACCCCAGTTTTCTGTAGTTTTTGTGAGATCCTTTACTTTTTAATGTGTATGTGTTTCGTCCCATCCCCACGAACAGTTCCCATACGGACCTGAATATAGACTGAAGATGGCTGCTTTTAGTTTGAATAGTATGCATGAAGGATGTAATACTTGATCCTCAATCTCCCTTTGACCAATTGATAAAGAAAGTTACCTGCTGATAAAACAAAACCTTTGGTTTGCTTATATGATGAATTCGTCGTGTAAATGAAACGTCAGCTGAAAAATTGGGAAGCTGATTCAACCTGCTTGGGTCTAACAAGCGGCGTGAATCTATCCACCCCACTGGGGATCGAGCCCGGTACTTCACCAGTAGAACGCAAGCTTACTATCCACTCGATCACCGGATAGCTGATCAAATCGTTTCTCATTTTGAATATTCACAACCCATCTTTGCGAGCTTGTTGCAAGTATCGGAACTCGCTCGTTTCAGCATTAGCCTTCATGGTTATAACTCGATTGGAAGTGGGTAGTTGGGTGGGTAGTATGCTTGGATTATACTTGTGAGGTGCCGAGTTCGATTCCCTGCTGGGTCGACAGATTTGCATTACTGATGATACCCAACCAAGTTGAAACAGCTGACCAATGCTTCCCAGATTTTCAGCTCATGCCCAATTTACGCAATGAATTCATCACATAAAAAAATGAAAACTTGCTACATTGATTAAAACTGGGGAGCTTCGTATGGGCATTTTTACAGGTGAGGTTTCTTCCATTTAAGTCATTCGATGGGGATACTTGACCGCAAACTTGACCATTAAAAAAGCAAGAGAAAGATGGACTGTCGGTGTTTGAACACCGCTGTCTAGGTAGCATTGCGCGAATCTGGTGGGGCAGCCGGACGAGCAATGCTGAGGTTAGGCGCAGAGTTTTAGGCAACTACGGTTGCCCACTGGAGCAAGTGGTCAACCTTCATAGATTACTTTGGTTGGGACATGTGTTACGCATGCCCCCAAATTGGTTGCCCCGGTGAACGATGTTCGATGAAGCAGGTAGTGGGTGGAAGAATGCCGAGGGTGGTCACGTTTATACTTGGCATGAGAGTATGAAAACCCTAACCAGGAATCCATGTCTCATAAGTCCCGTTAAGCTCCCTGACTGGGAACCTCGGGATGATCGTAACCGATGGTTAGAGATGCTGAGTGATATGGCTGAGTGTCGTAATCAGTGGTGTTCGTGCATCATCTCAATTTCTTGGCAACATTAATGCACTGAAATTGCAATTTTTCTCTTTGATCCCACTTTCAACTTTTTCTGTCTTTGTTCTAATGTTCATCCAAATGGGCAGTCAAAAGACAGCAACCAAAACCGCCGCAGGGAGGTGCGTGGTTAATGGTTGTAAAAACTGAACCAAACTGAACTTTCATGTTTCAATAGTAATATGTTCGATTGAGGTGAGCGCAATGTATGGTGTTGGCTTCCTCGAAAACTTTTGAGTCCCATCGATCTTCCAGAATTGCAGTTAGACTAGAGTTCATCCAGAATTTTTATATACGAATCACTTTTCTATTTTTCTCAAAATTGTCAATCATGAACCGTAGTCAGTAAAAATGGCTTCTGTAACTACAGCTGTATCGCCATCGAAGTCTATACACCTGAAGTCAAACTTGCCCTTCGTGCGCCTCCTGCCCGAACTGTATCAATCAGTCGGCATTGGCTATGTTGAATCGTTTCATCCGTACACATCACGCTGTTGCATTCAGTTCCATTAAGTGTGATCTGTGAATCTGTCGACTAGTCGGTTATTCAGGTCACTGCTCTTAATTTTAAAAATCGTATCGGTCGTATCGTATGTTGTCACACTTGCTGTTCCCGAGGAACGCAAATATCCCACCGCGGCCACATTGATGCCCTAAGTATATGACCACTTGCACCGTATGAATTGGGCCTCTTGATNCCGCTTATTCCACTTCTCTTGTCAGATACAATATCAGCATGAATTCCTCGAAAATTCCAAGCAACTTTCCTTGATCTGCGACTATTTTCGTTTGCATGGTCAAACTATATAATTCCTGAGTGAATGTCGGCAAACCAAAATCCGGACCGCTTGGGTTTCGATATCAAACCATTTATGA